AGCAGAACATGGCAAAATGACCAAACAAAGATGGGAAAAAGCTTGGCTCCTTAAAATTAAGGAGGAGCTCCTCCTTACAATCAATGGGGTTTTGAGACATGTTAAATTTTTATAATATTTTTTTTCTTTTTTGTTGAAACTTTGTCAATGTTGCTTGAATTTAACAAGTGTCAAAACCCCAATGGTTGTAAGGAGGAATGCCTCCTTAATTTTAAGGAGCCAAGCCTTGGTCGACCAAGCCTATATGATAATTTTTATAGAAAATTTGACTTTATCCCCTTTAAACTCATTTATTCTTACCTAATTAAGCTTGATGTGTCAGATTTTATATTTTCAGATCCCTAAAATACCTCCACTTAAAGTTGTACTGAATGTTCTTTTTAGTCTCGTTTGGTTTCGATTATCAACATATTTTTGTTGTAATTCAATTGTCATTATTACTATCCGTTTCATCTGATTAATTTTAAAGTTTTGGGTCCACAGTGAGGCGTGAGTTTTTAGACACAGTGGAAGGCCTTCTATGGAACAAATGGGCCAGCGTTTGGCGCCCAGGTTAGCAACTACCCTCAATGACCCAACCCTGAGCTGATCACTAATGGGAAGTACAAGAGTGTGGTGCACAGATTGATTGCCCAAACTGATGGCACCAGAATGTCAATAGCTTCCTTCTACAACCCTGGCAGTGTTGCTGTCATCTACCCTGCACCAACACTGGTGGAGAAAGAAGCAGAGGAGAAGAATCAAGTTTACCTGAAATTCGTGTTTGAAAACTATATGAAGCTCTATGATGGCCTTAAGTTCCTGGCCAACGAACCAAGCTGTCACCTTAGAAAACAAGGACTTCTTCAACCAAGAAAAAAGAAAACAAGGGCTATAAAATCTGTGGCCAAATAGCAGCAGCCATACCGAAATGGTAAACATCTGAAGCTGAAGTTTTCAAAAGCAGCAACAGAGGATGATCAAAAGCATAAAACCAAATTATAAAACAAGCTTTCAAGATGGCAAAATCACCATATAGACCTTTCTATTTGTGTGCCACTGATATCAGGATCTGCCACCAAAACTAAGTTATTTTGGCTTAATTAAATTGACAAAAGAAAAGCCGAGAGGGAATGGCAGCTCAAACTACTTTCATGGAAAGATAAGCTGTTCCATAGAATGATATTCCCTGTAATAAATTAATGATTTACATGAAACGCGAGAATACAAACCTACACTTTATTTCTCTCATAACACGAGATATCACGTGAGAAAGAAATAGATAATGATTACATGTATCCCGGATCATGTAAGTTTCTCACCCACGCCGGCGCACACATGAGCTGAGCATTATATCCTTAGCATTCATGATTGTCAATGCATGTAGGACATACAATGAGAAGTTTCTTTTGAACCAAGCAAAGAATCATCTAGAGAATTTTGAAATATAAAATCATCCCCTAACATGATCATGAGTAACTTGGAACATCCACACAACAAAAGGGTTCAACTTGTGCAAGTGGAGCGTCCAATAAGTACCTACCTTCAAGTTTTAATCATAACTGGGAACCTGAAAGCATCTCAGAATTTAAGAAAGATCCAATTCATAATCTAAAGTGAAGGTTATTGAAAAAAAACATTTATATAAAATCAAAGTTTTCTGCTAATTTTATGTCATGGTAGAGAAGCTTGATAACTACACCTTCAAGAACCTCAAAAACAGCCAACTAGACCTTTTTTGTTTCCTTGTCTTGCAAAGTAGAACATCGTAATATAATCAGAGACAATATAATTAAAGGACACGAACCAGACATACCACACACCTGCCATCATGATTTCGAGAAGAGGAATCCTTCCTTGTTTTGTGTAGGGCATCCTTACGAGTGTTTTTTAGACTTTTTGTTAGCATTTTTGCCCATTTAGTTTTATTAACACGCATGTCAATAGACTATTGTTTTACGTATTTGTCTATTTAAAGTAGAATAGTTGTGTTTTGGAAATTCTTAAGTGAGGACAATTTTAGTTTATTTGAAATAACTTTAAAAAATTTAAAAGTGAAGTATAAAGTAGTCGTCATTAAAACCTAAAAGTGTCTCTACAATTTTAGCACATCTTTTTATTTTATTTTTTTATACAAGCAATATTCTACTTTAATTTAATTTAAATGACTAGCTGCAATCTTGGTGTTTTCTTTGTCTCTAAGGCGGCGGCAACGTCTATGGTGGCGGTGGCAACAATGTCAGTAGAGGCTCTGTTGGTTTTTGGTTGTTTGTTTGCAGTTTTCTTATTTTGTAATAATTGCATCAACTCCTTGTGAGTTGGGTGTTTGATTGTTTTCTACTCTATATTATATTTTGTACTTGTGAGAGTTAAAAGTTGTAGTTGTATTGGTAGATTTGGGCGTTGTGATTCATGTTTGATTTGTTTAGGCATGCGGTTTTTATGTTGAAATTTCTCTGGCCTTTTGTGGCCTCTATAGGGTTATTATATTTACATATTTGTATTACCCCTTTGTGGGCATTTGCATTCGCCCTTGTGACTGATGGTCTTTATGCCTAATTTATGTATACAATTATCCCTTCTCTCAAAAAAATTTACAGGGATTCGAACTTGGATGCAGAGTGAGGAGCATATCCACTCTAACTTAACTTTTCTAAGTCGAGGTCTGCAATGTTAGCACCTCTTAAGACCATCTATAAGCCAAGGGTTGGAAACTCAAATTTTGAGTTTTGTGTCCAAAATCCGTCTCCAACCCATGTATTTTAGAGCATCTCCAGCGCAAGAAGAAGCCCGGGGGAAAGGCTGCCAGAGACAGCCCGAGACAGCTCCAGCGCAGGGCCCGTAGCCCAGTTTGGTGGTGGGTCCCACGCGCCCGAGGAAGCCCAAGGGCAAGCCTTGGCCGGGCCGCCGCCCCGC